ACATATGCTAATACACTATAGATGGTCGATTTGAAAGGATTTTTCAAGTCACGCAGCCAAAAAAAATGAATTTTACGAAAAGTAGAAGGTAAAATAGATACGTTTCTGTTTTACCTTCTACTTTTCGTAAAATTCATTTTTTTTGGCTGCGTGGCTTGAAAAATCCTTTCAAATTGACCATCTGTAGTGTATTAGCATATGTACTTTACTTACAAAAAAGGACTTTTTATTCTACACAGCCAAAAAAAAGTTAAGTGTATTTGAAAAAAATAGGTAAAACAGACCACTTTAGAATCCCCTTAAGTAAATTTATACAATTTTGTGTATTTTGTTTGTTTTTCTTGAGAATTAATTTACTTTTTAAATGCATTTTCCGCTCTGCACATCGATCTATTTCATTAAATTTAATCTCCTTTCTTCCTAGAAATTTATTTCCTTTAGAAGACTTGGTCTGATCTAACAATGGACAATAATATCAGTTAATATTGTAACCAGTCGGATCGAAAAGATCCCTCCGTTTCATCGTTGCTCGACCGTTCGACATTTAACGTTAAATCCTCTTCGGAAAATCCTGCAAACCTCTTAATATCCTTGCATTCAGTACTTTGTTCCGAAAACATTTCTATGCAATACACTTCCATTTGTGCCATTGATAGTTCTGGCTGAGAGAACGAGCAGCTCGTGCGTCTGTTTCTCTTACGAAAGAGAGAACAAAATATGTATGTGATGAAGGGAAAACTGACCGAACTACCCTCGCCAAATATTTGCTCCTAAGTCGACTCCTTCCGTCATTGTCCCACATTTGTCCCATTATTGTTCAATCGTGCGTATCCGCGGACCATTGTCCTGATCGAAGTCGGACATCACCGTGCTTTTTCAGCCATTCTTAACCTCTCCGCCTCCGTTCCGTTCGTTTTAAGATAAAATTTAATCTTGTGTTCAATCTTTTCGCTGGTCGAGAGCACACGTCGAAAGTATCGGTGGCTTGTTGTGACGTCCGAAAGCCCACCTTGGCACAACAAACGAGGATTAGCTCGCTCTTTTATTTGCTTACCTGTGCCAGCGCGCTATCGTCGATTCCGCGATGCGGAATTAAACGGTGGCGACAGTAATTCTATTTCTTACGCCGACTCGTCCCATTCAGCCAACTTTTCGTTTGCGATGCGCGTTTTATGAGCTAATATTGAATCGAAATCTCGTTAAGATCTTTTTTTGAGTATTGGAAGCCTAAGCGAGCTATTATAATCGTGATACAACTATCAAAATTTAGAGACCAAATTTTAAAGAGATATTAGATAAGTAATAATTGAGACAAACTAACTCGTTATTGAACCTGAAAATTGTCATCTTACAATGTATGTGAGAATAATCGTATAAAATTCGCGCAAAGCTAAATTCACGCCAACCCTTACGGAAAATAAGTATTGAGCTCTTAATACTTAGTATTAGTCAATAGTAAATTAACAATACTTTTTTGGGGAATACTTAATATTGATGAATACTTATTATTGCAACAATACAATACAATATACGTAACGTAAATTATAGATTTTCAGTACTGGCAGTGAATTTTGGAACACAGCCTCTATATACAAGTAGACTGCAATAGTAAGTATTCGTCAATACTAGTACTGTAATTTTTTGAACAAATTCAACTGTTTGTATATATTTAACAAGAATATTGAACAAAATGTAATAAAAAATAAAAGAAATTTATACAAAACTCATATGCATATAAAATTTATTCAATATATATACTCTCTTATACATGATAATGTATAAGTATAATATATATTTGTTTTAACTCATATTATCCCTCAATACTTAAGTATTGACGAATACTAGCTAATACTTAATATTTACCAATACTAACTGTCAATACTCAATATTCATCAATATTTAACCTGTCTTAATACTTAAATATTGACGAATACTAGTTTCCAATACTTAATTTTTAGCAATACTAACTGTCAATACTCCGTATTCATCAATACTTAACTTACTCAATACTTTAGTATTGACCAATCCTGACTCTCAATACTCAGTACTCATCAATACTTAACTCCCTCAATATTTAAGTATTGACCAATACTGACTCTCAATACTCAGTATTACAACCTGAATACTAAGTATTACAATCTCAGTACTAAGTATTGAGCCACAATACTTATGATATTTTCCGTAAGGGGTTTCCGTTTTTTCTTCGATCGTTCGACGAAAAACCTGCTGTTTTCCACACGTACAGTAGAACCTGCCTTGAATCTCGGCCGGTGAACAATGCACGATGCCCTCTTTTCGTGCGGTTTTTACACTGCCCGACGGGGAATAAATTTTAACAAGCGGCGGGGGATA